CGTTTGCTGCTGTGCTGGAACGGTCCAGCTGGCCCTTTCATAGTGAGCACCAGGGGAAGGAACACCACGATAGGTCCACGACTGGTCCCCCTTGTGACTGCGCCCTGGGCCAGGAGCCCCAGAGAACTTTGGTCCTGGTGGTCCCCAACCAGGTCACCCCCAACTCCAGCTGAGGTGCCCACGGGACACCCCAGTCCCACTGCTCCCATGGCGGGAGAACAGGGCTGGGGGGACAAAAATAAACAAGGCAGAAGAGTGCAGGGTCCCCTTTCCCACGGGAGAAGGGGTCCCTGGGAGATGGGATCAGCCCCGGGATCAGCCCCAGGATCAGCCGTAGCCCCGGGTGCTCTGTGCACAAGGGGTCAGGCCAGGGAGCACCAGCACCCCACAGCCTGGGGCCACGGGGCCGGGACCGCTGTGGCGCTGAGCTCTCACACCCCCCGAGCACAGGCAGCCCCATCACGGCCACATCCTGCGCGGTCGCCCTGCCCAGGCCCCCAAAACCTCCCACAGCAGAATCCAGGGGTTCTGACCCAAAACCGTCACTGCAGCTCTGCCCAGCAGCTCAGCAGGGCGAGTGTTTTACCTCAGCTCTGACACCCGAAGGAATCCTCAGCGTTTTCCTGCTCTAACTCGCTCTGTTTAGCGTCCGATCGACTCCTTGGAAGGACGTGAGCTCCGTATGCTGGCACAGCCAGGAAATGCCACCAGGAGCAGCGGGAGGCTAAAAAAATTACTCAGAGAAGGTTTGTCTTGCTCTTGCCCTTTCAGAGAAGTGGCTTTCACAAGACAGAACAGACGAGGGAACACAACGCAAAAGACTTTTAGTCCTTTTTCACTGCTTTTTACTGCAAACAAGAAACAGGGATTGCAAACCTCACTCCACTGAACTTAAGGCAGAGCAGGGTTCCGTTACCCCATTATCTGGGTAGCAAAGGACACAGACATTGCGATCGCTGGAAAAAAATAGCTGGACGCCGAGTGCGGCCTCGTCGCAGCGAGCTAGAGGTGCTCTCCTCCGCCAGCGTGGAGCCTCCAGGCCGACACGTGTCCTGGCAAAGGGGCTTTCTTCCCCCAGCCCTGCTCCGTCCCTGACCCGTCCCTCCAGCTCAGCGCCAGCCTCCGTCTTCCATTTCACAGCGGGGGCAGCATTCACAGCTGAGGGTTCTCAAGACAAACATCTCAGCAGACAAAGGCCACCGGGAGCACCGACCCCAAGTCACTGCAGGCGCAGATTTCATCTGGCCGGACGAAGTAACTCTCGCACTTGGTGGGGACCTCGGAGCCCACACGTCACGTGCACGTGAAGAAGAATTTCTTACGGAGGAAGTTGAAGCAGCCCGGGATCTGTTTGTACGTCCCCTTGGCAGAGACGGCGTTTGCCACCTGAGAACAGAAGGAGAGCGGGTGAGGAGCTTTTCCAAGTCGTGCGGCGCGACCTCTCTTGGGCAGCAGGGTGCCAAGGACGGGGAGCGGGATGGTGGGCCAGGAGAGCAGGCAGGTCTCCTAAAATGGGACATTTTTGCTGGCAAAAACAAAGGGGACTTGAGAAAACATGACGTTTCAAGAAACCCTGGTTGTACCAGCCACCGCTGCCTCTGGCAGGTGCTTCTCAGCATGACCCACAGCTCCCTCCTGCCCCCTGCGTGTTTATTAAAAGGACACTCCCCTCCCGCTCGTTGTCCTCCAGACATGCCTGTCACTTCCCCAAGGTCCCTTCCCTCCTACTGAACACCAGCCCGTGGAGAGAGGCTCTCACGCCAAAGAAGCGCCCTGACACCAGGAAAGCAACCAACAAGCAGGTCCTCTCTCCCCTGCTGCCTCCACACAAAGCTTTTCTGCTACCCACGGAGAACAGCACAAGTGTCCGAGGGTGCTTGCCCCCAGCTTTGGCAATCTTCTCTGGTCAGCCCCGCAGGCAGAGGAAGCCGTTCGTCAGCCACACTGCTTCTGCACTCCCTGCACGTCGCGCTCCTCGCTGACGGGGACACGCGAACACAAACATCTGGCCTCGCCTTCCCACGGGTGAGATGCTCCTCAGGACTTACTCTGGTGGCACAGGAGCACCAGAGAGAGAACAAGCACCCGGGGAGATCTCCAGGGACGGGAGACCGAGATCTGCCCAGACGCGGGGCAGCACACTTACGATGGTGCCCCAGGTCCCATCAGCTTGGGGTTCTGAGGATGGGACAAGCTGTGCCATTTTTTGCGTGTTTCCTTAGGAAAGATTAAAGCCTGTATTTTCACGATGGCTTCTCACTAGAGGAACCTCGAGGTGATTTTTGGCACACTGAGGCCAGACACTTTCTTCCTAATCAGACCTCTTCACAGACCTCCAGTCAGCCATCGCATAAGCTGAACGCTCAACATCCGCATTCCTTTTTTAAATACGGGCCTCCCTGCCCCAGCTGACTGCAGCTCCGTTTCCTTCGTCGGGACTACAAAGAGCAGGGCAAAAAAATGCCACTTACCCGCAGTAACATGTTGAGCAGGTCTTCCGAAGGGGCGTATCGCTCCAGCACGCTGTCCAGCGCTTCCACATACCACGAGCCGCTCGATGCCTCCCTCCAGGAGACAAAACCTTCAGAGGAAGGAGGAGAACACTACTGCTAAAGCCAGTCTGCTCATCTTGCCAAGTTACTGCTGCTCCCTAGGTGCCATCTCCACTGGAGGCCGTTGCCCCGAACTGCCCCTGACTTTGGCCGTGAAGCTCTGACGTTTTTGCCAATTCCCCCGTATCCAGCGAAGGATTTGCGTGGGCTGTCTCACCTGGAAAAGTTGAGTAGGACACCAAGATGTCGCTGGGTGTAGGCAAACTGGCTATGGCATCCGGCTCGTCCACGCGACCCAACGGAGTCTGGAAAGGAGTCGCATCTGATTCCAAAGAGCCTCCAGGAGTTTCGTCTCCGGGTGAATCACAATCCACCACAAAGCCTCGATCTCTTTGCTCTGCAAAAAGCAGCAAGAAGACAATCCCTGAAATTCATGTTACCCAAGCACTCAACGGTCAGACATCCTCCATTAAGAAAAGATGAAAAAAGAAACAAAACAGAATAAAGGCCCCCAAGGAGACAAAGCTTTTGGGCCCTTTGGCTGCACCTCTTGAGTCGGAGCCATCGGTGATTCACACGAGAGCCCTCGGTCCGTGCTTCCCCACCAACAGCAGGGCTGAAGACCTGGAGCAGCCCCTCAGCATGCCTGGCTCTGCACTGCAGTTCCTCCCCTCCTTCCGTCCCGTGTCTTCCTACCCCACGGGAAAAGTGATCCAGCGCGCGCAAATCGGGACTACCCTCCTGCGAGAGGCTCGCGCCGCAGCCCTTTGACTCAGCCCATGCCAGCAGTGACAACGCGGGGCTGAGAGTCAGAGAAAGGAAACAGATGCAGAAATAGGCGACAAATGAAAGAGGAACAAGAAGCCAAAGGCCAACGACATCTCTGGAGCCCGCTCACGCCCACCAGCCGATTCGCTACTGGAGCCAAAACAAAGATTCACCTCCAATACAGGCCTGGATGAAGAAGAGTTTGGGTTTTCCTCTCAAACTCGGGCAATTGGACCCGTTGAAATAGTTGACAATCTTTTCTATTGGAATGGGTTTTCCATCCGTTCCATAAATGCCTCCAGGAAACTGAATATGGCTCGTCTGCAAGGGGAGAATCCAGGAGCTAGTAACGCGGAAGGGGAGACCGGATTCGAGGGAACGCGCTTCCATCGGGTGCCCCAAAGCTACCACAACAAATCTCACTCCTTCAGGTCTGTGCAGAGGCACCCCCCACTTCAGGGCCAGGGGACACCCGGGAGGCACGTGGAACACACCGAAGCTCAGCAACCCAACTCCTGTCCCGCCTCCTCCAGCGATGGGGTTCTCCAGCCTCTGGGACAACGGGCACGTAACACACACTGTTTTCCTAACGACGGCTCTTCTCATGCTTCGAGGCCTCCCACTTGCGACAAAAAGGCTTTATGACTAACAGCAAGGTCTCCGACTTCCCTAACTATTACTGACAGCATCTCCTCATCAGAGTGGGAGAAGCAGGAAGGACTGAATGACCACAACACAGGGGTTAACGCTCCTTCCCTTCGCTCTCTGCCCGTTGTTCGGTTCTGAATTATGCACCCCGACTTCCAAAACGGAGGACACTCATCCACAGGCAACACTGGACCAGACTACACTGGGGAAGCTCCCATTTTCTTTAACCCAGACACGACAGCAAGAACTCTTTGCAAGGGCAGAACAGCCACGACAGATGTTTCCCTCCCCCGTGGGCAGCTGGTCTGATGAGCAAAGGGAGAGACGTGACGAACCCACCTGACACCCGTGGGAAAGGATGGCCACAACACAGCAGTCCAAGGCACTGTGGTCCCGCCGCGCCAGCGTCTGCAGCTCTGTAACCATTTCCTACGTGGAAAACACCATGGTAAGAGTTCTCTGAACTGTACCTCAGGCACAGATTACTGCTGGGCCTTGCCCTTGTCGCTCTCTCACAGCTGCGCTGCTCAGGAGGATCCAGTCGGTCTCTCTGCACCCCACATACAGGCGGCAAAAGCCATCAGCAGAGAGCGAGTCCTTCTGCAGTTCTGCCCTTATTTAACACGGTTGCTTTAACCACACAGATTTCTCTATTCGCTGCCTTCTTTACAACTCAGCAATGTAAACCAAACTGCATTTCCACGCCACTTCGAGGAGCAGCGAGGACGGGGCAGGTCACAGCCCCGGCTGCACAGGGCAAGGGCTGTCAGAGCTACCCCAGGAGCACAGCCGCACCCATGTGCCTACAAATCACAGGCCAGGAATCAAAATTCGGGAGGACGAGCACATGCGAAGTCCCTCTCCTTCTGCAATTGCACTATGACCACAAGATAAGAGGACAGGAGCGGTTGATTATTTCTCTGTGCTGTGCAGGGTGGGGCTTTCGGCGTGCTGCCAACACAGGGGTACATCGCACAACGCGCTCCCGTTGCTGCCGGGGGCTCGCCTCTCGTCCCTCGCGTTAGCTGGACGCAGTCGGACTCACCTGAGCTTTCAGATCCCGTCGGGTCAGGACATGGAAGCGCAAGGCCCTGAAGCGCTTCTCCAGCTTCTCGCAGTCCACGTCAGAGCCGGCTCGAGTCGACAGATCTGAGTCTCTGCCGAAGTTGACATTGTTGAGGATCAGGCAGTGTCCGCACGGGTCTGCTGTCAGCTCGTAAACCTGGCAGGCACACGGCACAAACACCCTCTGAGCGGGAGTGCTTGCTGGCTGCTCCAAGGGGACACAACCTCAGAGGGCACTGGGAGCCCTCAAGGTAGCTCACTTCATGGCTTTTTCACTTATCCAGGCCTAGGGACGGACGCGAACACCCGTTCTCTGCAGGCACGGTTTTATCAGCAGCCAGAGAACACAAACCAGCCTTGCAGGAAAACTGCCTGCTCCTTCACCCGCAGCGTCTCTGACGGCGAGCTGAAATCTCTGGGAGGTTTTTTAGGCACCATCATTAAATGTCACCACGAGAGCCCACACGAGGATCCAAGAGAACGGGCAGACAGATCTCCCAGAGACTCAGCTTCACCATCAACAACAGCACCACGGGAATTTTACGAGGGCTTCCCAAACACCTGCACCGATACGGCCACAAGCCCTGCCCCCGTCCAGCCACATGCTTCACCCCAGGCACCCGCAGGCTGTCAGGAGGCAGCTCCCGACGTGGTCCCAACACTCGCTTCCCTGTGCGTTTCCCAGTGCCCCGACACAGGCTGCACGTGCCTGTCTCTCAACACCAGGACTACAAACACGCAACTTGGTGCCTTTGGAAGGAAACGAAGCGCGAGCTGTAGCTCTGTGTTAGAGCGTGTGTGCTGGAGCTGCGGAATCTCAAGGAGCTGACTAACGACTGACCCGCTCGGAGCCGATCAGCCCCGTTACAGCGGCGCCGGCCTTGGAACAACCACTCAGATAACACAAAGCAAGAACCAGCTGCCTGGGGCTGCTTTTTGGTTTCCACTCACAAGGCACGGAGCTTTCGCTTAACAGGGAACACGTCTGGGCTAACCAAACACTAACCAGATCGCGGTCCCTCCTGCCAACAGCCAAACCTGCAACACACAACAAAGGCAGGGCATTCAGTGTTCTGCACTCCATGAGACATTATACACCTTCCTCCCAGAATTCACACCAATCCTTCCCTGTCACCTGCAACGCGTCAGTAACTCGTTGGAATTTCCCCTTCCCACCCTGCCACACGCTGGAAACGAGCGCTCAATGTGTCGTCTCTCCGGAAGAGCCTGGGACGTGGCTTACCCCGGGCTGGTGCGGGAGGCGTTGGAGGTTTTTCGCTCTCAGCTTGGACTGGGATGGACAAACGTTCAGGGAGGTTCCCATCTGTAATGACACAGGACAGTCGGGTCTCACCTTCTCCCCCTTCCAATTTCATGCTACAAATAACCAGCCCGGGGGCCCCAGAAGCAGCCGCCTGTCGCAGTGACCCTGCTGCAAGGCTGAGATACAACATCGCGTCCGTCTCCCCCTTTTCAGGACTTGACAGAACAAAGACTCTTCTTGCAACTGCACAAGCCAGACGTACAACCAGATTCAGCAGCACACAAGTGGGCCACGAGGTGGCAAAATCCATTTTCACCAGGGTATCGTGAAAACGGCGTGCAAAAACACAGAGGAGGAAGCTCCTGACACCACGAGCACACAGGCCGAGCTTCAAAGCTTCCACCACTGGAAAGCACGACGTTCTCCCAATAGCTCTGCACAGAGACCTCTACAAACTGCACTTGAGGGTAAGAAAAATCGGGACTTCACAGTTCATGTCCCACAGTTGCCACCTTCCATGCTGCTGTTTGCCCAGAAAACAACCACACTCTTAAATACCTACTTTTATTATGCTTTGCTCCCGGCAAGTCCAGCTCGACGGGCCTCAGGTCTCCGAGCTGCGGTGGCACTGGCGGGCATTCGCACTCCTCTAGCAGCATGTCCGCCAGGTCTCCCTGCCCGGTTTCCCGCAGGATCGAGATGAAGATGGGAAAAGCCCGTTTCCCTCGAGTCTCCAGGTCAATGACCAGCTGCCGGGCTTGGTCTGCTCGGCTGCCGGCGCTCTGCAGAGGAGGAAAGCCCAGGACAAGGTGTGTTCACCCCAGGCCAGGACACGCTGCCTGGCCAGTCCTTCCGACAGGCATCCAGAGAAGGGAAATGCGGGGATCCACATTGGCCACATTTACACGGAGCAAATGAGACCAAGACTGAGCAGACAC